TGTTTGACAAGAGACTTAGCTTAGTTAATTGTGATCATCTCTCTCCTCTCATTTCTCACAGTTGTGACTTATTTCTCATGGCTTGGAGGTGTATGTCAATCATATCATGCCCTAATATAAGCATTATGCTTCAATTAATTGATTGCATCTTTTATTTCTTGTGGCCTATTTACAATGTGGTGCCCTAATCTAATGTGGTGGCAAGTGTGATCAATTGGAGCACAATGATGAGTGTGATTAATTGGAGTGTAGTGGTGAGCATGATCAATTGGAGCATGGTGGCAAGCTTGATCTATTAGAGTGTAGATGCAAAACATTTCTTTAGGTACTTAGGGTGTTGAGTGTAGTGATTTTTGGCATTATAATGGTTAGTTGCATTGCAAATCGATAACATAAGTTTTTTCTTTTTGGGTTTTGCTCCTTAATTTAAGTTTTGTGGTTGTTGTAGTGATTGTGTTGTGGTGCATTATAATGCAACGGTTATACATAAATAAATAACTGATTTATGCCCATTCCTCTCCAATGCATGTACTAATATGTTTCTTTCCATAGCTAAGAAGCAGAGAGTTTTGCAACAATAGGAACAATATGCACCTGGGTATATGGCTATAATGTGGCAGTTTGCTAACTTGCTAGGTCTAAACACTTGTATTATCTCATTGATGCAGACGCACTTTTGAGCAAGCCTTTTGCTAGTATGTTTTGAATTTTAAAATGCATGTGAAGTCATTCATCTCATTTATTATGTCAAGCGTCAGGAATTAAGGCATTGTTGTGCTAATTGAGGATAGTAGGCTAGTAGAGTTTGCATGTGGGGATATTGTTTATATACCTTTGCACATCTATGTTTTTGTGTGTTTTTCAAGAGAAAAATTTATGCTCTATTGGACCAGGCACTAGGATTTCTTAAGCATAGCTTTGGTGGCAATATTTGCTGATATACAAGCTCAAGATTGAAGACCATGTTATCCTCTTTTCTCCCAATATAGCAAGTGTGTGTGTGTGGGGGGTTTCCATGCAACCATGCAAGTTACAAAGCCAACAACACAAATAGAGGATGATGTTGTGGAGGAAGGTGAAGAGGGAGTGGCAAAAGAGCATCCCACTACCATGGAGATCCCAGAAGAAGTAGTGTTAGATCCCAAGAATGCAAAAGAAGTAGTTTTATAAGTGTAAGATGCCAAACCAGAAAAAGTTTATGTCACTATGGATGGTGTGATCATAATTTATGATATGTAAACATTACATTGAACCCTTTGCTTCTTTTTAGATTTTTATTTCTTTGCATGGTTGCTACCACAGCTACAATGCAATTTTACATTGTGTAGTGTGAGATGGTGGACAAATGCAAGCTGGTGGTTGAATGCAAGGTTGTCAATGAACACGAAGTGGTAGAGAAGGACCTTCCTCATAATGTTATAGAGGAAGACCCTTCATGCGGGCACAAGGTGATGGTGGAGGAGACCCCATGTGGTATGGTAGTGGAGGAGGTTGGGCCTCCTCGTGAAATAGACACCCCAAGCTCACAGGTGTATGGTTCATATGATGAGGCTATATTTCATGTGAAGTAAGGAAAGAGGCTTTAGTTGAGGTTCCTTTAGCCAGCGAGCTAATGATGAGGAGGATGCTCCAGCTAACAAGGGAACACTCCTCACTGCATAGTGGTTCTTAGTGAAGAGGTGGAGGTGCCATGCAATAGCCTCCATGAAATAGAGGCTCCAAGCCTCCTTGTGAGCATGAGGATCTATGAAAGCTTCTTTATGAGTAAGAATTGAAGGCTTATGCAAGATAAAGCTAATCCACTTTATGGTTTGTTGTTTTTAGGATAGACAAGATCACCATCTCAATGGAGTCTAAGCACAAGTCATCACCCTAATAGTTTATGTGAAATTATATAATACATTGTTAAAAGACTTGTATACTATTTATATTTAAATTCTTTTATCATAAGATTACATTACTATTATAAACTACAAACTTGAAATTCTAAACAAGTTGGATCAAGTTAATAGTGCCTCACCTAATCATGCTCTTAAGAGTCTAGAGGTGGGAACCTTCTGTGGGAAAAAAAATTTAACAATAATGATTACTGAATGTTACTTCTTAGATATTAAGTCAAGTTTATTATAAATTGGCTTAGCCTACATTTTCAAGCTCTTTTTTAAGATTAAGTTTTAAAAAGTGAATAAAATTATCACTCTCTATAGCCTTCTATACAATAGGGTGGAGTGGAATACTTTAGAAATTCTCTCCACTCTATTGTAATAATTCTCTGTCTTTATGATTATAGAATTAGAAAAATTAATTATATTTTCCAAGTATTAATTTGAGAATAAAATGGTATTATATAGCCCATTGTCTTTATTAATTTTCTCCAGATGTACTAATATGAAAAACTATATTTTAGTTATAGTTAATGATAGTAGACATTGGTGCTCTATATGCATCCACATATTCGTTTTTATGCATGCCTGCAACCTCCGCCTTTAGGTCAATTTAAACCTGGGTCAAGTTTTATTTTATAACTCGCCATAACCTTTATGATAGGCTTTACTAAACTCTATTCTCCACTACGTTTTGCCCTTTACCTTTATAGCCGGAGAAGATAGGTGGAATACACTCTAAATACAGACCCATTGCTGCCCCGCGAAACTCCAAAAATTCACCCGCTATCTATCGAGCAAGAGCAGAAATCATCTGGACTACATGTAGTGATCTGTACAGAAGGTAATCTCTTGGTATTCATGGAGCCCTGGTTCTCTGGGTGCGGCAATTCACTAAGAAGGCGGAGAGAACTCGCCTTAAGTCTTGCTTACGCGCGTGAAGCACGCAAGGATTTATTCTTGCCGGCGAGCAAACAAACCGTGTTTTAAATAGGATTGAATTCAATGATTAAATAACTCAAGACATTAGATTGAAAACTAAACCAATATATATACCACGTGATTTGCGATTCATTTGATATTCACAGATAACAAAGGAGGTAAGAATCGAGCCATCAGAAGGCAATGAGAATCCAGCCCATGGTGCAACCAAATACCAAGCCAGCACCCGCGAGACTAACTCCCAGAGCAAATGCCAGTCCCACTGTACATCCCAGTACCATCGAGTTATCTGACTGCCTGCTGCGTTTCTTAGATCTCATGCCTTCTTGGTGCTGTTTGCTGGGATTGCTGGAGCGCTTGAGCGAGGAGCTGTGCTGCTGGTCCATCTTATCAAAAGCAGCGTCTTCATCTTGGGGCCATTGCTCTCCTAGCTCTTCTTCCTGTCGCCTAAGAATCGAGTTCTCTGCCTCTAAGTATCTGACCCAGTGCTTGTATGTTAGCGACACGGACGCCTCCCGGAAGAAGAGCTTTAGGAGCTGGTCTCTCTCCGATACCGCCTCGGCTGCCCGCTTCTCGGCCTCCCTGGCTCGTGTCTGCGACCGGCAAAGGGCCTCCCCGAGCAGCTCCGAGTCCATGTTCTTCCAAAACATAGCGTCATTCCTGGAATTGAGAAGTATGAAACACTAGCACACGAAAAAATAGTGGGAGTGTAAGTTACCTCTCTTCTTCTGCTGTCGGTTTTTCTTGAGAGATCTCGACTGGAGTCGGGATTTTGCTCTTCAGTTTCGGATCCAAAGCTCCAAGGCTTCGAAACGCCAATGACGGTGCGGACGATGGTAGACCGGGTGTTGCGAGCTTCTCCCCCCCACCACCATGGAAAACATCCTCCTTCATGGCCGAAGGTCTCAGCAAGCCTTTTGCTGCCGGCGAGAGAGGCGGCGGCAAGTCACAGTTTCCCATATCCTCGGAAGACTTCCTCGCAATGAGAGCTGCCAGTTCGCTTTTGTTGGCGTGTCGCCACCTTTGGCCCATCACCTCGAGATTCTTGGCGGATAAGCTGCAGCTCACGCTCGTCTTCTCGGCTAGTGACCGGTCCTTGTCAAAATCTTTTGCATCGGTGGTGCACGTCGATGGCGAATCTATAGCTTGCCAGTCCGACTCGAGTGACTTAGTCCCCGCCTCTGCTTCCAGGCCCAAGCTTTTCTTAGATGGCGATCGATCACCGTCGTTTTCCATGTGAAAGTGGAAATCTAGCTTCCTGTCCGGCAAGAAGTAGTGCGAGCTGACGGCACTCCACCCATCGCTAAGCTCGTATTTCCCTCCTTGTGCCTTTGTCTTATAGGCCTCGTCGTCCGGCTTTGATGATCGCTTGGCGTCCTCGTGGAGTAAGTAGCAAGTGGCGGCTGTTCTGTGCCAGGCGGTCCTCATCTCCGCGGCGGCCATCTCCTGCAGCACGACGATAGTGTCACGTTTGGTCCTTCCAAGGAGGAAGAACAAAAAAAAAAAACTATCCAAAAGGCTGGAACTTACTTAGAACAGTGACCCGCAAGAAAGCACTGACCCCGACGAGAGTCGCTGGCACGTCAAAAAATTTCCCAAATGCTCGGGCGGTAGAGTGTCAGGGAAGGAATAATGTCATTGCCTTGGCTTGACGAGCAGAATCGCGAAGCGAAATCGCGACTACCCTACGCGAGCTAAAGAAAGAGAAAAATCGCGACACGAGATCTAAGATCAGATCTAACCTGGAAAAGGTGCGCACCACGAAATTCTAGAGGCGTGGGGCGGATAGCGCTTCATCCCCGTGCCATCGCGAGCTGATAAACCCTAAATTCGCCATGGATACTTGTCCTCCTAAATTGCCTTCTTCGCTCGTATCGCATGAGCGCGGAAAAGAAAAATCCCCAATTCCTGTCATATGACATTCGCTTACGTGTCAGATGACGTGTCTTATCATCTGAACCCTCGATAATATCCTCATTGTTTTTTATCCACTGACCAATCTCAAGGACACAGCGCAAAAGTACATTATGTTATCCTAATCTTTGGCTTTAATCACGGAGCCGCTATTTTCTCCGGGTGTACTTTGTGCACTCGATTCATTAGTGTCAAAGCCTGTGTCACACACGCAAAAGAAAAAAGCGAAGGAATCAGTCAAGGAAAATGCGAAGTTTGCAAGCTTGAGAACCTTTGTGAAGATGTGGCAAATCATGCCGATCGGGCAGAACATGAGGCACAGTATCAACGAATGGCGAGTTTCAATGTTGTGTTCCAGCCCTTCGAGATAGATTTGTCTGGAAACAAGAGTTTAGGCGAGGTATGAAAGTGAATTCACAGAGTACCTCCCTACGAATAGATCAGCAGCAAGAAGATGCACCCAGGCGGATGCAACGGTTACTGTGCTGGCAAACATTTGAGTAATCCCAGCGAGCTGCAAGAAGTTTTGTTAGAATTTTCCTTTTGGCTGAAAGCTGAAAGTACCTCTGGAAGGTAGTGCTTGGTTGCAAACATGTAGTGTAGAGTGTTAGGCGTCCAGGAAATGGATAGAAGATAAGTGTACATGGCTCCGAGGACGACGTGAGGGATGTTGCTTTCAATCACACGCTTTGTCTGGAAAAGAAGATGTGAGTTAGCTAAGCTACAAAACTGAAATCTTAGATCAGCTCACCCAAGTTTTCTTTGGAGCCAGAATCATGATGGTGTAGAAGGGCATCACCAGCGTTGTCGCAAGCGTGAAGAGCGTGGATGAGAGTTGCACTGTGCTTGTAACTGCTTGGACAGGCACTGGACAACACCAAACTCTAAGAACAGTTGCAAGAGACGAGAAAGATGACTCACAGGATGCGGAGATTTTATGGGGCCGACTTTGCCGCTTATGCTGGAACTTCGTCAGCTTGGATGAGAACAGTCCGCGACTTGGAAGTGTGGCAAGTGGAGGAGATCTAGTAGATCGAGGTACCATCTTTGAAACACAAAAGAGAAAAGCGTTAGAAAACGTAATTAAAGCGAGGAAACATCTGTTTCTTGCCTGGATCGCTGAACAGCCATTTGCTCTGTATGGAACGAATGTTAGCAATCGAAGCTACGCAACACCAATCTTACTGACCTGTGCTGCGCTAGAACGATCTCCATTCTTGACTATAGACGAACCTCTGGTAGTCTCTTCCTCATGGGCTCCAAGAAAATGGAATGTAGCAAAGCCCCAGCCGCTTGAATGGCAGCGCACTGAGAGAATCTGAAGCACGATACCGCACTGTGAAATTTTTCTTGACAAATTGGAGGAATATTCGAACAAAATCGATAAGTGGAGATAAGCGTTGCCAGCTTCCCATTGGGTAGAGACTGTACTGACAGACCACCTTGGCAACATCACTCACGATCGCTTGCGTTGCCTGAAAAAAAATTTGTCAAACATCTTCAGTCCGCGAGTGCTGTTGACAGTTACAACTGAAAAGAATCGCTTTCAAGACATTGCGTACCTTCCAGGATTGCGGGGAGACATAGAGGCTAAGATGGTAGAACTTGCGCCAAGTACTTGGACACGGTCTCGGCAGTTTCATACGCTCCTTCTACGCATCGACCAAGTGCAACACCCGCAACGTAGTTACCTCCCAGGAAAATTCCCTCGACTCCAGCATTCCTCAGACCAAACCGAGCTGCTTCAACATGATCCAGGTGGCCTACTGTGAACTGCGGTATTGCTCGAGGCCACAACCGAACACCAAGAACTTTCGGTGGCTCCGCGTCTTGTTTCAAGAGCATCTTACGGAGATCTCTATCCACTGCCTCCACTATAGCATCATCTTCCTGCGACGCATATTATGTATTACGTTGTAGGCGATAATGGATCTGCGGCACAAACCTTCATTGATATTTGCATGTTGGTGGCACCTCCTATGTAGTTCAGTAAGAGAACACGGCCTTGGGGAGCACGGCCTGGAAAAAGAGAGGAACTGTAGATAGTTCCTGCAACAGCAAACAAAACATTTAGTCCTGCTCGAGAAGCCAAGAAACTCACCTAAAGTTTCTACTCCTTGGCTGCGAGGGTGAAGTTGGCCAAATCCACTCAAAACTCCATTGGACAAGCGATCTTCTCGAATGGCTGATTTAGGATACGATAAAGTTACTGCCACAACTGGAGGATAGAATATCTCTGAGAGGGCATCAGAAACTGCAGGCTGAAACACAATCGTAAGAAACGTTAGCAAAAAAGCATTTGAAATAGCTTACGGAAACTGGTCGTAAAATCTCACTAGCAACGTAGGATGGAACTGTGAGGACGACAGATTTTGCCAAAACAGCCGTGGTTCCTTCTGGAGTATCATAAACAAGTGTATAGAGGCCCGCGGATGTTTTCTTCACAGACAAGAGCTTCCACTTGAGCTTTATGCTATCGCCAAGCCTGAACACAACAACCGTAATTGTGTCAAAGCACACCAATTGTAATTGCTTACTTCGATGCTATAGCCTTGGGAAGCGAGATGAGACCCTTGCGAAATGATCCAACAGTTTGACCCTTTGGTTTCGGCAGTCGCCTACAACGAAAATGAAATCTCAGAGAGAACTGCTTTAATCAGACTTACTCATCACGAGGCGGAGGGGGATTCTTCTTCTTGTCCTGTATAAGCTTAATAGTTCCCCCGATGATGCTTCCACCTTGATCTTCCAGCTTCCATACTTTCCCGAATGCAGCTTTCATACTCAATTTCGAAGGATCACCAGCATAAACGCCTGAAATCCAACTAAGAGGAAAATCTACGTCAATCAAATAGTACTCACCTGAACAGAAAGGTTCGATCAGCCTCTCAAAGACTTCATCACCTAGGTTCCGACGAACAAACTGCTCTACGGATTCTTCACCACCCTGCACGAACAGAAAATAATGAATACCGTTTATTAAAAGAAAAACAAACAGAGGATACACTTGACATACCGGAGCTGGAGGCCTCAATCCAAGAGCTCCCAGGCCAGCTCGTATCTTTCCCGCAAAGCTCATAAGATCAAAAAACGGAAGATCGCCGAGCCCCGCTGGTACTTTGCGAAGCTGTCCACCCCACAAAACAAATCGAGGAGCATCGGGGTCCCCGAGAACAAGCTCGTCTTTCAGTCCGCTGTCAACCTGCAAGGAATATCAAAACGCGAAGAAAATCAAGAGACTACGTACCGCCATGGTGAGCATAGAATCGTTGGGCTGGAAGCTGTTCGGTCCTTCCTCCCACAAATATCCATCCGACTCCAGCGTCGTGATATTTCCCCCTACTCTCTCCCTTGCCTCGGTCACCAGGATGGAGCTAACCGGCAGGCCGTGCTTCGTTGCTAGCGCCTGTGCTGTGCAAAGCCCCGAGATCCCAGCTCCCACTATCACGCAATCCAGGGACTTTCCCTCGGCGGAGCGCTCGGACACCGAGGGCGGGCTCACTGCTGGCTGCTTTGCGATCACTGGCACTACTGTCCTGCCGGGGGACGAGAACTTCCGGCATTGCTGCTGGAAGATTTTCTGCCTGGCCCTGGAGGTGGAGGAGGTGTGGCGCCTGCATTGGAGTACCTGGTGAGGATGAGGGATGTGGAGAGCTGTTGGAGCAACTTGAAACACCTCCATTGCTTTGGCGATTAGGGCTCCTTGGCCCCTCTGTTCCCTATACCATAGCTTTTTAGTCTAAACGAGCGCTTTTATACTTCGAGGTCCTCGAGGTCGGGGAGGGGATAGCGAAGGATGGCGGCAATGCCGGTCATTTGCGCCAGTTCTGCGAGAAAACGATGGAGACAGTGAGTGAGAAGACCGAGAGGCGAAAGGGAATTTCTTACGTTCGCCGGAGACGTGCATCGAGGAGAAGACGTGGACGTTTCCACCCTTTTCTTTCACTGACTCGACGAGCTCGACGTACCTTGTTCTCGTCGGAATGTCCGCGTTTCTGAAAGGAAAGACATCGTACGAGGAAAGAAGTTTCACAGCTCGTTTACCTGAAGAGTGCGTCAGTGATGAGAAGCGTCTGGACGGCGAATCTGTCGTGCGCTGCTGACACATGAGCGGGGCCATAAGTCGCTCGCAGAGGGTCCTAGTGAAAAAAAAAAGTGTCGGCGTGTCGCCAATATACAGAATCATTCACTCACTGTAGATAGCATGTTGAAGAACTGCTCCAAGGCCCGGACCTGCGTGTAAGTAGCTTACATAAGTAGCTTGCATTGGAAGTCTTAACAAGTGTACCTCTTGGGCCGCTTTTGTATCTTTGATTCGAGAAGCAACAGAGGGCGAGCTAAGGACTTCTTTAAGTGAGTGCCTGCAGCCACCAACTGAAAAAAACCAGTCTTTACAAGACGCGAAAACCTTACTTGTAGGCGGATGATGAGTGAGCTAGAATGAACTTCGATTTGTTTTCAATGATAGGCCTGATCTCCCTCCTGGTGCTCTCAAGGTTGATGTAATCAAAGAACTGGTCCTGGAGAACACAAGCAATGAGTTGCGTGATAAAACACAGAAAAGTGCAAACCTTCGTAAATCCAGGACTAGCAAGTATTATGCAGCGGATCAAAGTGAAGTCTACGCTTCTTAGTAGCGCCTGTGAGCATAATTTTTCAGGAAATGTTGAAGTTTAGAGACGCCAAACCTGAAATACGTTCTCGAAGAATTTGTTCAGCGCCTGCAGGACACGGGTATCAAACCCAAATACACTTCATGAGCAGCTAATAAAAACCTTGTCATATCCGGCAATCGCTGCACCACGTTTGCGAGGAATAGAGGCTTCCACACGTGCCTTGATTGTTGTCATGCTGTAAAAGGAAAAAACAGAGGAGTGAGCACCTGGAAGCTTAAATTTAGGAAAAGAAGCTATACTTTTGACCTACAAGGCAGATGTGTGCTAGCCCCTCGTCAATCAGCACCGCTACTACATCGGCATTTGCAGTAGGATCTACAAACAAATCGCTTCTAAAAACGTCGCATAGTTTCAGAAGAACACTCACCGGTAGCATTTTTTAGCAGCTCCAGAGCCCAGTTGTCCCATATAGTCTTCACAACGAGGAGTTAATTTCCAACACACAGAAAAAAAAATCGTCAAG